TGTCAGTCATTACATGAACTATTAACAGTAATTTGTTAACATCATGGATATAAAGATAAAATAATATACGCAATTAAATTATTTAAATTATACTAGGGTTACAATAATTATTACTGTATTAATATTTTGCTGACATTCATGTTTCTCTTATGTCTTCTAGACACTCTTCCTTGGTGAATATGGCTGTTATGCAAATATCCTCAGCAAATCTATCAACTGTCTCCTAACTTTGTCTAAAGTAACATACTAGAGTCAAACTTCTTGCTGAGTATATTTTGCATACTTTGGAGACTTGTTTAAGACTTTTCTCACTTCAATGTCACAAAAGTAAATCTATATTTTCTTTTTTTTTACTTAATTTCAGATTTCAGTCCATTTTGACCCTAGGATTGGAATTTCTGGATTTTCCTGAACTAGTTCATCAGAGTCTCTTGTTCATTTGCTTCATGCACTTGTGTTGAGTCCCTGGCATAGATTCAGGACACAGAAAAAGGTAGATAGAGAGCTTAACTGTTGATGGGGAAAGGAAGGGCTAAATGATACCATGATTACACTAAATGAATTGAGAGAGCTGAATAGGTGCAGGCAGAGGAGTGAATTGGTAGAGAAGGCTTAGTTAGGAGGGTGGGGCCTGAGCTGTGCCCTGAGGAAGGGAGAGATGCAGAAGCAAACAGGGAGGGGCGGGAGCTCCTGGAGAAGGAGGCTGTAACAGGGCCAGCAGAGTGTAGAGGGGCAGTGGGAAGGCAGGATGGAACAGTGAGGAGACTGGGAGTCTCCTCTGAAGGATGTAGAAGACAAGTGTTAGTGAAGGCATGGAGGGTTTTGAAAGCCAAGCAGAGGCACAGGGATTTGCTATGAAATGAAATAGATATTCATCATCAGTGTATGTGGGGGGAGAACAAGTGAGGGTGGTAACATTTTGACATCAGTGTATGGCAGAAGGTTAAGGAGAGCAAACAAGCTGTAGAAAAGGAAGCAGGAGATCAGGGAGACAAGAAGTATCACCTGGTCTTCCTTGGCAGGTGAAGACCTTCCTAGATCAGGCGGCAGGGATTAAAGTGCAAGGTCTGATGACATTGTCAGGGAGGAAATCAAGGCAGGTGTTTCTTATATGGCAAATGAAGCACAGCATGGGCTCTCATCTCTCAGGCTCTTTGAAGAAGGGGAACACTCCATGGCATGCTGCAGGGGGCTTTGAGAGACATTCCATGAATGCGAGGTCTTAGTAAATGTGGCCCAATGCACAGCAACTGACTTAGCAAGAGCTTGATAAGTGTTTAATGAATAAGGGAACTTGTGAACTTGGAGCACTTATCAAACAATCCAAAGGAAACATTCTCTGGACAGCTGAAGTACAAACTGATGGATGGAGATTGATATTGTCCCACCTCATGCCCCACTCCAGCACCCACTGGGAGAAGAAAAAAATAATAATAATAATCAGTGACACTGAAGAAACAATCAGAAAGGTAGGAAAACAAGGAAAATTAATATCTTGAAATCTTAGAATTTCAAGAAGCTTGGTGGCATCACCAAAGGCCACAGAAATCTCTTTGTGGTCACTGGTAGGTTTTTGGAGAGCAGAGCATGAGGACACCGAGTTGAATAATATGTGTTGACAGGGGAAGGGAAGAAGGGCATCAGCCACATGGCATTAGAATGCATCTGGAATGTTTGTCCAGAGCTAACTCCAGGGGAGGGAATAAGCCCGCCACCCTGACCCAGCATAGAAGAGACAGGCTGAGTGCTGGACATCAGCTCATAGGAGACTGAGGATTAACTGGATTTTTTGAAAACCAAGAGAAAGTTTAGATATCTTTTGAAAGAACTTCAAGACCTTCCTCTCAATTTTCACAGACTTATAGGTTGTGTTTCAATTACTTTTTAAACTAAAAAAAGCCAACATGTGCTGCCATTAAGCAGTTTTAGGCAGGAGAGCTAATGAGTCACAAACTATTTAGATGGACTATCCAGCTTATTTCAGCATTATTTATCTGGGTTTTATGAACAATTTATCTCACCCCTGCTGTGTGCCAAGCAGTGCTGGCTGTGAACAGCCAGCTTTCACCCAGCCTGGTGCTTCATTATCATGAAGTTGGTCTGAGACAGGCAGGGTCAAGGATGACCAGAACCACCTGGCTCTCGAGTCTCTAAGTTTGCTAAGGAAACTTTGGTCATTATCTTCTCCACGCAACTGTCAAATGTCCAACTCAGCAGATCTGGGAAGAGGCTACTTCACGCTGGGAAGATAGGAGCTACACACAGAAACTGTGATTGCTCATCTCCACGGTCTGTCACAGAATGTTTGTGAGGTTTTTAGTTGGGTTTCAAGTAAAATCCGGAAGACAGCTTGGGCTCCTTTGAAAACAGTGGTGGAGTCCTAGCAATGCAAATCAGTTCACTTCTAGGGCTTCGAGGTGCTCAACCATGCAATTTGTGTGGAATAAAGCCCCGAGCTTCAGTCATTTTTTAAACTCATTTATCATAACTTTTGCAGTTTCTCAAGGGCTTTTTCTTTAAGGGACCATCAGAATGAGCCAGGGAGTCGTGCTGGAATTTTCTAATAGCCTGATTATAGACTTCTTCATGTCATAAGAGAGGACTCCAAATTCTGAACACGCACTCTCCCTGGAGCACAGAGTGTATATGGTGTTCCACTCACTCAGAAGCTGTCCCAGCTTTTCAGAAAGGGCAGTCTCTGGTGGAAGCAATAACAGCATGGTGCCTGGAGCTGTTCCTATCCCAGGGCCCTAGCTAGGCTGAGATATTTTTAAAAATTGAAATTGCCAGAGTGTTTTGCTGAGCAAGTGTATACATTGCTCAGATTTAAATGTGTGTCTGTATGTGGTAGGAATGTGAGAAATGTGTATGTTTCATAAAACCCAGAAGCTTTCTTTCTCTAATTCTTTGAAGGTCCTTTAAACTATTTGAAGTTCCAAGTGGCACTGTATTTGTAAGAGAAATCTTAAACTAAACTACAAAGGGGAGGCTTCATAGGACTTTTGCCCCCCCCCTTTGAATAAAGTGTAGCTACAAACACCAATATATGACTAGATGACAATATATGACCAGGATGGTTTGGTGGCCCAAGAACTTGAATTAAAGTAACTAAGAAAGGGAAGTGATACGATCTTTGATACTAGTAACCACAGGAAGTCCTTGAAACTAACTACTCACAGACCCCTCAGAAAACTCACTGAAATGAAAACATATTCCTTCCTTATCTATAGGCATTTCTGGAGAATGCCACTATCTATTTCTCCTCCCTCTCATCCTCTTAATTTTCACCGTTTTGGGAAATTTGGGATCTTGAAAATTAACAAATAATCTGATTAACTTTATTTGGTGTTAAAATTTTTTTCACAGGCTATACACTAGGACAAAGTAGCTAATTAAAAGCATGTCATTTGGGAAGAATTTGTTAAATTCCTCCAGGAATGTTTTGTGTGTGGGCTGCACTTACTGAAGGAGCTACGTCCTGCCCAGCTGTGTCCTTCAGGAGTCGGTTTGGCAGGAGCAGGAGAGGAATTTCAGAGGAGCTTCTCCAGGCAATGAGCTAATGGCCTTGTAGAACATCAGGTGAATTTATTTAAGAACTACTTGTTCACTTAGTTTTCAATTTCTCCTGTGTGCTCTTCATGTCAGGAATTAAATCTACTATAAATCTTACAATGATGCATGTTATTTGCTAAATTATTAGATTTGCTGCTGGGTAGTGCACATTGTTTTCTTGTACTAGACTAGAATTCATGATGATCCAGCTTCCCTGTAAATTATCCCTTGGAAAAATCTTGTCAGTAATTGCTATTTCCTTTTTAACACTTAAACATCAGAGTCAGAAATCCATCTGGAGATTTCAAACCATCAATCAGAAATACATACTAAAATTAAAAGTCTAATAATATGCATTCTTGATCAGCTTCATTGCATATAGAATTATAATGGCAAAAAAAAAGAGTCTACATGAAATGGAAGGTTTTGGCTTTAAGAATCATCTTCCATAAACAGTGGTCCCTCTGATTTATCCCATCTGATCTACTTTTCTTTTTATGTACCTAAAAAGATAAACATGTCAAAAAGAAAAGTGACCAAAAAATGAGGCTGGTGTGAGAAGAAATTGCTGATTATGAAGGTCATCATCAGGTTTTCCATGATGCACAGAGTTGGGGCTCAGGGGCTCAGGGGGCACCTCTATGGGGCCTTCATCCACAGCTGTTATTCATGCTGCAGTGATTGTCAAGCAGTGGGGACCAGCAATCACTGGAATGAAGGAACCGTCAGAAGAGAGGGGAGCTGTGGAGCATAACCAAGAGCAACAAGATTTCTGCACAAATAACAACTCTAACTAAAACTGTTTCAAGTAGTGCATGCGACTGAGACCAGCTTTCCAGAACAAGACTCATCAGAAGGAATTGAGGTAATTGCTGGAACTGACCAAAGATTTATTGGGAATGACAAGCACTGAAAACATTATCATTACAGATGATTTATGGATACAGCATATATCACCTATATTATTTTTAGGACAATCTGTGAATATGAGTTGCATAAATATAAGGAGCTCCTTTTACATATTCTTTTGGGGTGGGATTATATGCCCCATTGTCTAGCCAGTCTCTGAAAGGCAGAAGTTAAGAAGTTTGATGCTCATCCCCCAGTAGCCTGCCTCCACCTGCAGCAGCCAGACATCTAGGGCACCAGGTTCTGCCTTCTCCATGAAGACAACTGCTCTGACATGCTATCTGTCATCACACCCTGAAAAATGCACATTGCGAACACAGATACTGTCAAACATTTTTGGCAATGGGATGGCTAGTCTGTTCTGAGGCAAAACTGCAACTGTAATGCCAGGTAGAATAAGAGCAATGCATGTATCAATGACACTTGAGAGGCAAATGGCTATTATGGAGGGGAAAGAAAGCAACTATGTGTATGTCATTTTGTGCATACACACAGATTCAGGAGTGATGGGAACTAGCTCTCATGACTCTGTGTGTGTGTGTGTGTGTGTGTGTAGAGAGAGAGAGCAGTTTTGGAAAAGAACATCAAAAACTTCTGCAGCAGTTTACTTCTGAACATAGTAAACTTGAAAGGGGAAGAGAGAGATCACAAATGCATGGGCTCACACCTGCACCAGGGAGAAAAATAATCCTTTACTACAGGGTAGTTCATCTTGACTTCTGCAGGGCAGCCTCTCAATACCACACGCTTGGTGCAGAGAAATTCAGGTTCTGGTCTGGAGAAAACTACTTTACAGTTGGTGGGAGGGAATCAAGTACCAGAGTCACCATGGCTTGGACAAAGCACAGACAAATCCTTTCTTAATAACATGGGAACAACTGGGGACTTTCTCCTTCATTTACTTTTTTTCCTTAGGTTTTTTTGCACATGCACTCCATTGATATGTCCTTCCAAGCTTTGTCCAGCATCAATCTGTAAATCATCAGGAATGTAATAGCAGAAGTGAATTCTGCAAGTTTTCATGAGGGCTTAAAAACCTCCAAACCAGGCTCTTTCTACAATACTTTTGGCCCTAAACCAGGCGCTGAGTGAAGTTCTCGGGAAAGAGGCCTTTGTAGGTGGCGAGATCTCTGTACTGGAGCCAGTCTGATTCCTTCACTCCTACCAGCCAGCCTGCATCCTGCAAGACAAGACAAGGCTTTCAAGGTTCAACTACTGAAAAACCTGCACTGCCAACAATTAACAAAATAATTTGTGAAATAAGTGGTGTGGTTCTGCACCAAGATGTTACGTTGAGTGTAAACTGTTGTCCTGGTCCAGTGAGAAAGCTAATCGAAGGTTAGTATTGATATTACAATTTGTATAAAGTACACTTAATGACATGAGCTGTTAAGAAGAAGAAAAATAATAGAATTACAGCCAGTTCAAAGACAAGAAGACCACATGAATGTCAGTCATACACAGGAACACCTCCTGTCCTGTGGGTCATGGTGAAAAAAGGCTTGAGGATCCCTGGGTTAGAAGAGAGTGCTGACAAAGCCACAGAAGGTCTTGCATGTCATCCTGAAGCACTTGCTGATGAGAAACAACACTGTCCTTCTTTCCCCCAGCTCATATCATGTAACCCAAATAAACCACCATATACCAGGCTTATCAATAATAACAGCTAGATAGGTTACCTGATATTTCTGTTTGTTTGTTGCTGCTGTGATAATATCTAATTTTTCAAGTTTACATAGTACAAAGCAGTTTGTTGTCATGATGGTCCTGTTGGAAACATTTGTATGTTCTGTATAAACTATTCCTTATAAACATTTGTGTATCTCATAGAAGGGCCATCATGGAAATGCAGACATGCAGTCAAAGAAAGGTTAAAGATCCATCCCTGTGAGGGATGACAGAATTGGAGATTGTATGTAAAACTGAAACAGAGGCTGCCCTCTGCCCTTGGCCTATGGAAGATAAGCAGAACCTAAATGGAAAAGCTGAGATAAAGGAGCAATATGAGGACCTTATGGTCCTCATAAAGGACCATATGAGGCAAAAACTAGTGGGGAATGACTGTCTTTACTATGATAACTAATCACCTGAGGTGATCCCTCTTAAGATGAGGGATGGCCAGATTTAACCCAAACGAATTCCTGAAAAAGTTCAAGTACGTCAGATGCAATGAGGACTCAAAAATTAAATAAAGAAGCTGAACACGTTCTCTTGTGATAAATCTGAGACTATAAATTGATGCCACTAAATAGACAAAAATATAAGCATTTAGACAGGACAATTTTTGAAGGCAGAAAAAAAATAGAGAAAAAGATAACAATAAAATAACTAATAGTATCCTAGCTGATGACAAAAATTATGACATTAAAATTTTTGTGTTACATATGTGAAGGACAAAGTGATACCTAAAGTAAAGGGTGATAACTATATTTTCTTTCTATTTTATTTTATTTTTTCAATTAAACCTAGTGGATTAACATTGGTTAATAAGATTACATAGGTTCCCAATCTATATTTCTATGATATAAAATATTTTCTAAAACTGCAGTAAGTATACAAAAGGCCACATTCCCCCATAAGTGTCTATATTTTATATTTGACTTTATTTACTCTGAGTGAAAAATCTAATGGCACCAAGTAGAGTCATGCATTTAAAATTGTATCAATAAAGAAAAAGTAAAGGATTTGCATAAACCTATAATCTTGATATTTTCAATACATATGCTGAAATACAATTTATATGGTAAAGTGAAGAATATTATTAGCCAATATCCATCTTTATCTGAGGAAAATACATAAAATTAAATTTTAACAGTTTAAAATATATGGTAGACTAAGAATTTCCAGTTTTGGTCATTGTAAAATAGCTTGTATCAGACAAAGGCTTATTCCCTGAGCAAATTTAAGCACTAAAATAACTACTGAACACATATTTATGTCATACCTAAAATACATATGTATAGCTATACATAATTATTTATATATACAAATGACTGTTACAAAATATGGAATATAAAATATAAGCTTATATAATTCCATCATTGGAAATAGAGGGGTGGCCCATACATAACACCTGTGTGAAGGCACTGAGAGTGAGTGAGAGCAGGCAGTTTCAGAGAGTATTTAATGCTGGGAAGTGGGGTGCTGCCCAGGGGAGACCTGTGCTGGCATAGCCTCCCCTGTGGAAGCTCCTCAGTCTGTGTGGCGCAGAGCATACAGAAGTGAGAGCTGAGGGCAGTGGCCCTTTTATGGAGAATATCTCGAAAAGGAGAGAGCTGTGGAGAAAGTTCCTCAAATAGGCAGAGAAGCTTCCCTGAAACCTTGAGCTGTCTCCCAGCTGTGAATGCATCAGGGATACCCCATGGAGCTTGAGGAAAGCAGGAAGGAGGGAAAGGATGAGGAAAGATTCAGGCAGTGGAGGAGAGGCAGAATTTAGAGTTCACATCCCATCAAGTCAGGGGGCTTGGAAAACTCATCGGAATTTTGATTGAAATCCCAGATGGGGCATGTCTTAAGAAGTAGAGACTATGGGCTAGGACTGGGAATTTATCCTACAGTAAGACAACACTGAAACAGACCCACGCTAAGAAGGTATAAAACAAACTTCCATGAATTCAAGGTAATTAAACAGTAGTTTGAATGCCTACTATAAGAAATAATCTTCATTCACAGATAGAAAAGAATCCAGATTGTGTAATGCATTACACATTGCATCCAGTACCAATGAAAATAAATTCTACAGGAAAAAGGAAAAAAAAACAAACAGGGAAACAGCCCTGGCTGGTGTGGCTCAGTGGACTGAGTGCTGGCCTATGAACCAAAGGGTCACAGATTCAAATCCCAGTCAGGGCACAGGCCTGGGTGGTGGGCCAGGTCCCCAAAAGGGAGCATGAGACCACACATCAATGTTTCTCTCCCCCTCTTTCTCCCTTCTCTTCTCTAAAAATAAATAAATAAAGTTTAAAAACAAAACAGGAAAATGACCAAGGGATAAAAAGCAATCAATACATGTGTGTCTGGGATGGTCCACCTTTTGGAATTAGCAGTAAGAAATTTAAAGCAGTTATTATAAACATGTTCATGTACTGAAATTAAAAGAGGGTAATAATGAGAACAGAAAAGAAATCTCAGAAAGGAGATGAAACTATATAAAAGAACAACATAGAAATTATAGAATTATGTAGATAACATCCTAAGTAAAAAAGCCACAGGATAAGCTCCACAACAAATTCAAAGTAGTAGGAAAAAGGGTCACTCTACTTAAAAGACAGGTCAATAGAAATTACCCAACCAGTGTACCAGAGAGAAATAAATATTGAACAAGAAAGAATAGTCTTAGATATCTAAAAGTCCAACATATATAGAATTGTAGACAGAAAAAGAAGAGAAAGAAAAACATTAAGAGATAACAGCTGAAAGTATTTCAAATGTAGTGAAAGACATCAGGATATAGGTCTAAGGAGTTCAGTAATCTAAAGTATGAAAACAATGAAAAAACAAGAACTAGTCACATTACATTTTGAATGATGAAACATGATACCGACAAGTTCTCAAAATCTGTCAGGGCAAAAGTCACAGTCTTAGTACTTTTAAAGTGTGGAAGGAAAAAGTTAACTTAAATTTTTTTTTCTCCGGGGAAAAATATTTTAAAACAAACATGAATAAAATTTTCAGATAAACAAAAGCTGAGCTGAGAGGAATTTTTGCCAGTAGATCCACACTCCAGGAATCGGGAAAGGCTTTTTTTTTGAAAACTCACCCAAGAATGTACAATTTTCATTGCTTTCAGAGAGAAAGGAAGGGAGAGAGAGATTGAGAGACAGAGAGAGAGAGAGAGAGAGAGAGAGAGAGAAACACTGATGTTAGAGAGAAACATCTATTGGTTGTCTTCAGGTACACACCCTGACTGGTGCTTCGACTGCAACTTGTATACTTGCCTTGGCTGGGAATCAAACCCATGACCCTTGGGTCTGTAGGACAATGCTCCAACCTGCTGAAGCACACCAGCAAGGGCAAGGCCCTTTTCCCTTTTAAATTCTTTAAAAGATAGCTTATGATTAATGTAAAATATGTGAATGTATATTTTATAATGTTTTATAAGTTTATATTTTATAAGTTGAGAAAGGGGTATTTGAGTAAATAATTTTTGCCTGTTATTGCTAATATATACCTTGTCATTTTCTTTGTTTGAAGAGTATTTCTAGGGTTTTAACAATTTTATGAATCTCTTCAAAGAACAGTTGGCTTTATTAACATTTTCTACTGTCTTTTTTATTGCATCCATTTGTAAATTCTTTTTGCTGCTTTTTTCATCTATGCACATTGTATTTAATTTTATCTATTTTTATCTTCTTAGGCTGAAAACTTAGAAATTAATGATCATTATAAGATATTTTTTAACTTACTCTGATTTCTTTAACCCATGGTTTATTTAGCAATGCATTTTTAAATTTTTTAATTCTTTAACCATCTTACAGATATTTTATTATTATTAATTTGTAACTTAGTTTTATTGTGGTAGATACTCTTGTTTCCTTGACCCAGCAACTAACCTTTCTGGGTAAGTGTATTATCAAGAAAAGAAGCCAAACATGGTACATGCAAGTCTTAACCTCAGAGTGACTTTATTATATGGAGAAAGGCTCATATATATTTTTGAGAAGATTACAGAAGTTATAGCTCTTCTCTCTGGAAAAACACATTTATACATTTTACATGCCATTTTAGGGGTTCACAAACCTTAGGAAGAAGAGCAAAATGGAGTTCTGAGCTCCTTAGCATCAGACCACTATGCTCTTTATTCCCTTGGAGGTTATTTTTAAAAATGAATCTTTTAGAAAGGAGATATAATATAAACACTGTGAAATGCAAGGATTGTTAAGTGGACAGTTCAGATGAGTTTTGACAAAGGCATACCAGCTGTAACCAAGCCCCTATCAAGATGTAAAACATTTCCATGCATCTCCTCATGATCTTTCCTGGTCAGACTCAACACCTTCATGGGCCACTGCCTGTGAAGGGGGACTTGTAGTGCACATAGGCAGTGTCTGCATTTCCTGAGGACTGGTGATTCACAGACAACATTCCTAGAAAGCAGATACCTAATAAGAAATGATCATCTATTTGTATAAAGGAATAAACAAGGTAATGGCATCCCAAACCTAAAATGTGTGTTGCACTGCGGTCACAAATCCTTAAATCCTTCTCAGAGCTGCCCCGTAGCATCTCAGAAAATGAAATGTCTTTAGGAAGTCACTGTGCCCAACTGACCCTAAGGGAAACCAAACATAGCCTGTAGCACTTTCCAATCTCATCTTTTACCTGGTCAGCCTCTGAATCCGAGGGGACCACCAACACGACGTCACCCCTTTGTAAGGTAAGTTCATCAGAATTTGCTGCCTCAAAGTCATGCAGTGCTTCCACCTGCAAGATTACAAGAGAATTGATTAATGTTATAAAGGAAAATAGAGGTCAAATCTGCCTCCCAGTCAAATGACCTGCAGGCACTCTTACCAGCATCTCCAAGCTGGATGAAAATGAAGACATGTATCATGCCCCAGAAGAGAAGGCCCTTGAAAGCAGAATGCAAATCCTCTTCCCTGTTTACTTAAAACATCTCATTCTGCCAGACTGATGCTGAGGTATTTACTCATGCAACACCTTCTGCTAGAGCTGATATGTTGAGTATTAATTAGTTTAATTTGTCATATTTTTGTTAGAGATTTGATAAATTGTTTTAAACATAAAATAATAAAAATTTTAAAATTGTTTATTTTTAATCTGAATTAAAAATGCTTAGATGAATGTTCCTTTAACCACAGCTTCTGGCATATTGGGAAAACTATCACTATTTATAATAAAATCACTGTTTAATCAAACCTATGTTCAATCTCTTTGTTAAAAAATTTCCTTCTTTCCCTATCCTGCCTTTTAAACATGACAATCTGTTTCTATTTCCCTTTGTTGAAAGATTTCTTTAAAAGTTGATCATGAAAAATTTAAAAAGTAGAAAGAATAATAAAATGAACCCCTTTTTATAGCTTAAATAACTAACTGCAGTTACACCCAGGTTTATTTCTTTCACGTCCCGCCCTCAACCCCACTCATGAGATTAAATAATCAGCTTTTAACATCCGTGTTTTGCATGTAGAATCATAAACTGTCAGAGAAGGAAATTAATATATTATCTGACAATTCATTTTTCGGATGAATAACTTGAAGCCCAGACAAGGGTGAGTGGTGTTCCTAGCTCCCACTGAGGTCAGTGAGGGAAGCCTGGGCCACCCGGCCAGTCCGGGCCTCCAGTGGCACACACTGCACCCTGGATTTCTTGTGCTCTAGGACAAAACACAGTGGGACACGTGCCCCCACTAGCCACAGGTTTAATTTCCCCTTCACATAATTTGTCAACAACTCCATTACATCCAACCATCCCCATTCGAGTAGCAAGTCTGCAGTAACTGATAAGCAGAGAGAGTAGAAAAAGATTATGACTATTCATCCCACCCCCATGAAAATTTAATACTTTTTTTAAAGCTGAATTTTGAAATGTAAAACCAAATTGTGGAACTTAAAGAGGATTAGCTGCCTTTAACACTTGGTTGATGTCTGTGTTTCTAGGTATTTACTGTTTGTGTTTGTTTATTTTTGGTAAGGCCTTCAGTTTATGAGGGCTCTATGTAACTACTTGATGGCCTCTCTGAGCAAAACCTTCTGCACACAAATTTAGGCTTCTTTTTCTCTTCTGTTTCATAATATATTTGTTCACCTACTTTTAAAGTGTGGGTTGGCTCCCACTTCTGCGTCAGGCACTCTAACCACGTAAAGGGCTGATTGCTCTTTCCTGCCGTCCAGAGGTGTCTGACCCAGCTGGGAGCAGTGGAGCCCAGAGCACAGGCCCCCACAGAGCTCCCTGAGGAGCACAGGAGGGCACTCAGGTGGAGGGCATGAACCCATTCCCCACCAAAGGGCATACCGTGCAATTACCCATTTTTTAAATAGAAAGATGTCACAGCAGTTCTTCTCTGTCTGCAGCACAGAAACCTTGCCAGGTTGCACTGTGATGTGGGGATGGAGGGGAAAGCAGTAGAGATAAAGAGTGTGCATTGCTAAAAGTAAAAGTAAAAATCAGAAAGCCAAAGGTTTCAGCAAAAGGGCCTCAAAGAAAATGGATAAATGACTACCACATTTTAAAAATTATAAATAGAAATACCTTGTAGAGAAAGCCAGGTGGCACTTGCTCAGAGGTCTGGCTTACAGATGGAGCAGAGGGTGCTGGCTGGAAGTCCTCAGTGGTCTTTTGCTCAGAGGCCAGCTCTGGCATCTCCTTGGTGGAGTCCGGAAAACCTGAGTCTTCAGCTGCTTCCTTGGACTCTACACCTATAGTTGTTTCATGGTCTCCCTCCCCTTCATTGTTGGAAGCAGGCTCTATGACAACGGAAGGGATGACCTTCTCCTGGGGGAAGAAAAATGTGGTGGTCCTTTGGAGACAAGACATCTGCATCCTCCCCGTCACATCATCTACGGCTCCCACTTTCCCCACCCCATTCATTTAACCAAATTCCTGCTTGTCCCAGACCGGATTTAGGCTTTCTGGCTGTTGGGCGACTTCCTGCTGAACCTCCACCCTATCTATCTCTCCTGAATCCAATACCCTTGGTGGGATTAATTTCTGGATCCTGGAACAGTCATCTAGTTTCATAAGAGGGTGGTTTTTCTATGTCACCTGGGAAGAGGGACAGGGAACTGAAAGGAGGAATGTGAGTCACGGCAGGCTGGAAGAGAAAGTCCTGCAAGGAAACACAGTTGGCTTCCAAGGTTGCTCTCATCTGTGCAGTGGTCGGTTCTTGTCCCATTACATGCTAGCACTCACCTGAAGCCAACAGTATCCTCGTGTAAATAATGCTTTTCTCCGAGAGTCTCAGGGCACTCCCAAAGAGCCTGAAACCACATTGCTGGTAAAGATGAGGCCCATGACTGGAGGTCAACTACCTGTCCTTTGCATGTTGGTTATCATCAGAGCCACACCACAGTCACAGTTTAAGGGCTGACAACTCCCACCAACTACTCCAAGTCCTGTGTTGTCTGGGGAAGCAGAACCAGAGGATCAAGGCCTCCCCTTTGCGTTTTGACAAAGATGAGCAAGGAGGGGAACTTAACTCCAATAATAAAAGTCTGGAGATATTTCTTGCTTTTCTGATTAACTTCTATATTCTTCAGATATCAGGAGACCTAAGCACTTCTGTTCTTCAATTCAGAGAAAATAATACATTCTTTCAACAAGTAGAATACTATTATTCTTGGCATGGTGACAAGAAAGTATCACAAAAAACAAAATACACTTTTGAGACATTTCTGAAAACACCAATACAACCTGCTGATTTTCTGGTGGGATGAAAAGGATAATTCAGTTTCAAATGTTGAGTAACTCTGGACAGATTTCTGGAAATTTATCATGAGTAAGATAAGGAGAAACATGGAAAGTGTAACATGAAGCGCACTCTTCACTGTTACTCCTAGAATACAGAGGAACCAGACACGGGGTTTAGAGGAGCGGTCCTGCAGGGCACTCGGGTTTGAAGCTCCCACAGCCAGGGCATAGATGGCAGTGTTGCCTTGAATGCTCCTCTGAAGGAAGGAAGAGCTGGGGCAAAGTCCAACTTCATGTATGTAGTTAATGACCCACTTTTCCTTTTGAAAGTACAACATAAGGATGGGCTTTAGATAAGAGGGCTTTATTTGGGATAAATTTGAGTTCACAGTAAGTGCCTGGCACCAGGCTAAGCACTTTATGGCTATTTCCCCACATAATCCACACAACAACCTTATTATTCTATCAGATTCCCTTTGTCCTCTCTCTATTCTCATGCTTTTTGTCATCTGTGCTTCTTTCCTCTCCCCCATCAATTTATTGCATAGTTTCCTTTCCTCTCTTTGTGCTTAATTTAAGCCTCATCTGCATATCATGGGGGGTTCTTGGGACCCCCGAATATTGGCATTGAGGAAATGCTGTGTGCTGTGACCACTCTTTCTGAGAACCTAATTTTTTTTGTTTGGTTTTGGGGGGAGCAGTATTCCACAAAATGGCTAGGAAGGTATTCCTCATCCTAAAGACTTATTATCACCATTAACCAACAGACAGAGCATACCTGCTATGCCATCTCCCCAAAACCTTCATTTCACTAGGACACGTACCTGAGGTGCTACTGTTTCTGTGTCTTCTGATTGAGTTCTGTCACTGCCCATGACCTCTGTGGCTTCAGTATCAACCTCTAAACTTGCTCTTTTGCCAGGATGAAGATCAGCCTCCTCTGCTTCTGCTTCTGCTTCTGTTGTTGGGGCCCCCTCTGCTGCGAACACCAGCATTCCAACAGCTCCCTCAGCCTCAGTTCCAGGTAGGATCTGCGAGCCAGAATCAAAGGGGCCATGTCTGTGTCTCTGGGGCCTCAGTAGGAGTTAGACTTAGCCCTTTCCCTTCTCTCCCCTCTGCTGAGGCTCATAGGATTTTGAAGTTTCCTTGGCAATGCACTGAGACCCAGGATTCTGGTACAGCACTTTGACATCAGTTGACCAAAACACTGACCCTTCCTTTTCCTGAGCACCCACAATGCTCCCTTCCTTGGCTTTCCTTTTCCTTGTAGGGAGATGTAGTAAATAGAATTTGAGTGAAAGCAACATATGCCACTCCTGAGATATGGCTTTCATAGTGTGGATATTCCCTCCCCAGCAAATTCCACTTTTGTTGCCTGAAAGCAGATGATATAAGGTCCTGGAAGACACCTGAGCCACAAAGTGGGTGGGACCTGACCCCAGTACCAGGGTCATGGAACAGAGCTACATAGACAGGCCTCCTCGTCACACAAAGTCAGGACTTAGAAAGACTGATTTCAGTTTAAACCTAAAATCTTCATGGGGAAGGTCTCAGAAATTAAATCACATTCAGAGAGAAAAAAAACTAGGGTATTTTCTCATGAGACTTCTTGAGAATGAAGGAAAAATCATTTTATTATTGAATATTCATTATAATCAAAGTCAAATAAGATTTTGTCTCCTTTACTGAGAGTAGAGTAGTAAAATGCAAAAGAAAAAAGAGAGAGAGAGAGAAAATTTTATTTCTAAGGTTGAACCAGTGACTAAATTGGTTATGGAGTCTTTAGCAAGACTCTGACTTCACCTTGGCTGACCTGATTTCCGAGGTTCAAATCAGAAAGATGAGGAAGAAGGAGCCAAGGACACATATTTCAAAAATTGATCTTACTATTGATGTGAGTAGCACTAGATATCCTTTCCTTTATCAGATAAATTCTACCCAATTTGCGCTATGAGGTTAGGCAAGCCCTCATGTTGCCGATAACAACTGTCTGACCAGACCAGAGGGAGATGGAGAGTGCCTGCAGAATGGGTGTCAGAAATGGGCGATGGAAAACCAACCGCACACCTGCAGCCAATGGCAAGGCAATAAAAAACATTTATCTGATTCAAATATACAGGTAATAGATTAACTAAGAATGACCCATTGCAGGATACATTTTTCTACATTGTAATATTTTATTTGAGAATCAAAAACTGTGTTATTGGCTGTACTATGTGTTGTATGGCCAAGAACTACTCACATTCTTAGAAATTTATTTTCTTCATTTACGAGAATCTCTTATTCTGAGAATTTGGCTCTCCGGAGTGTGCAATGATCCAAAATGTAGCCACTAGCCAAGATGTAGCATTTATCTCCTTTTTCTACCTTGTCATTGAAGTACATAGGTTCAGAATTGTCCCATATTTATTCAAATGAATTAGAAACGTTGGTAGTGAGGTAACAGCTACATAAGGTTTATATTTTGGTGGATGACTGAGAATTTCCATAATTAAAGTTTATTTAAAATTTTAAGAGAAGTGCCCCCTCTTGCTTTAAATAAACATTGTTTTATGGCTGTTATGTTCCTGTTGTCAAGAGAGTAATAATAAGAACATAAATAAGGGGGTTTTCTTAATTCCAGGAAGAACACTGAACAATTTCTTGTAAGTTTATTGTTGGAGAACCAACAAGCTTTCTTCTGGAACCTAAGGACATAGCAAAGTTTCCTCCACAGCAGACATTGTACCAAAGACAGTGCACTCACAGAGGGCTTATGGGCCTAAGTGCAGGAAGCAGGTTGTGTTGTCACAATTCTAAGTGATTCCTGATGTCCTATCCATGTAGAAAATCACACTGCAGAGTGACCACCCCACTGGTCCCATAGCTCCGTACCAGATGGACTCTAGATACATGCAGACAGTGTGAACAGGCAGTGAATACCACTGTGTACACACAGACATACATATTGCTACAGGTCACAAAGCAGCCACCATGTTATTTGATAGGCTATTCCCCCAAGTATTATACATAAATTCTACCATAGATTTAAGTTCCAAGTAATTGGATATCATTTTCAACTGAATACTATTAATTGGATGTCATTCGCAACTGAATAGCTACAGCTCCAGAAGAGAATATATTTATTTCTGGGAAGTATTGATGGTGTCCTCAAAGGTAATTTAACTCTCTCCATACAAACAGAATGTTAATAATGAGTTCCTAGTTTGTCCCTGGAGCTCTATATACCTATCAACTTGATTGGTATCACACTTTAGTATGGTAAAACATACATGTTTTCATCTTTCCTTTGTTAAATGGTTTCAACAGTTATTAATGGCTGGATCTGGTTTAGACCAGACAGTGTGGCTCCTGTGATGCCAGACACCAGCAGGTGGAGCCCAAGTGCACCATCTGTTGCTCTGGCTTTCCTTGACCTGGCAGGAGCAAATCTGAGGGCAGCAATTTACCTGATCTCTGTCTCTCTGTCACACACACACACACACACACACACACACACACACACACACACACACACACACACACACAGAGTATAGAGCATGTAGAAAGTTGTTGATAAGAATGAGGGCAAATAAAAATCACCAAAACATTAATATGAACAACGCTGATAGAGTCAGGGTGCCAAGGAAACTGCAATTTTGCCTACAGAGGGGAATTTGAAAGACTTACTTAGAGAAGGGATAAAATTAAGTTCCCCATCCTTCTCTAAGACCATTAGTAATAAATTCCAATTTCTCTAGCCACCATCACCACTTTAATTTTACAGAGCCTAAGAACACTGCAGGCTCTGTGTTCTTAGAGAAGAACAAAGAGAGAAGGATTGTCCACTGCCTAGATTCCCTCACATCTTTCTGCCTCTGGCATTGCTCTGACCATCTAGGGTGCTCCAAATCTCCCTTTGTGTCTGGAATCTGTGGTGTATCTTCTGCTCTTACCAAAGCATTTCCACTGCATACTTGCTGACTGCAATAATAGGACAACATAAAAATATATCAGAAAACAGGATTCCATTTGCTCAGATTAGGTGTTAATTGCAATGAAAATAGAGAAAAGATTGCAAAGGTTTTCAGGTGTAGAGTTATTTTTTTATTACTTTCATGCATTCCAATTTGTTAGCCACTTGTAAATTAAGAAAAAAAGCATTTTCTAGACTTTGCTTGCTGCCATAGACATTACACCTGCTATTGTTATACCTGCTATGAATTAGCAGGTGTAACAATGGTTAATGACTGCTATTTTACCTTAAGTATTATCAGAGAGACCAGAGGACTGAAACTACTGAAAGTATTTCAAAACTTTTATATTCAATGTTATTAAATTTTTGTCCTCATTCCAAATGTTAAGGATTATACCATTATCTTCTGCCAAAACTATACTATCTGGTGATCAAATATATTTGTGGTGGAAAATATCTACTGCGAAGAGAAACTAAAAATGTCTCTCTTCCCTGCTGTTTAGTCAGCACAAGGGCCTGACTATTGCCAGTTTCCACATTAATCACATAGAAATCACAAGGGTCATCATGGGACCCACCTTTGAGATGGTGAGCAGTTCTCTATTTATCACTTTATGATACAGATCTTACTGCTTTTATATATTCTGCTTTGACATTCTCCTTGGTGGAAAGCAATACTATTATGGTATTCATGTCCTGGCAAACACCTGACTGTGTTACAAAATTTTCTGGAAGTGGAATGAAACTAATGCCATGTAACAATGCCCTCAGTATCCCGCAAAGCAGGGAAACACAAACTGGGTGACAGAAAATAGTTCTTCCAGGAGATGGTGCCTTGAAAGCAAGTCAACAAGGTCTGAGGCCCCAGACAAGTAGGAGAAGTGACTGGCTGCAGGAGAATTTGTAATCTCTGACCTCTGTGTAATTTATTGATTTCTTTTATTTAGTCATTGTTTTGCATCCTTGGAAATAGCATCTCTCAGCAATACCTGAGAAGCAGCTTCCACTTGTGTAACTGGTCTAGAGGGCAACTGCAGAGATCCCTAGTAGGAAATTCCAAATTTATTTATGAAGCAGGTTATTTTAAATAAATGGGACATTTTCTGATAAAAAATAAACGATACCATTGGCTCAAAAATTAAAGAGATAACTTATGGTAACCTTTTGAGGTATTTATCTTCATTCATTGATATGCATATAGGGGCTTTGTCTATTTTACAACACATAGATCATGTTTGTTGGAAAAATTCTACCAATGGCTAAATAATACTTTGCTTCCTTTTCTATTTAACAGTTTAACAGTTCTCCTATAATTGAACTAGTCAGTTTCCATTTCTTAAAAATGTTATAAAAAAGTGAGAAAAATCTTGGTTTGTAACCATATTTACAACTATGTAAGCTATACATTTAAATGATTTAAATAGAAAACATTGTTCCCTTCATTTATTTATGACACCCTAGGTATGGATTTTTTTGCAGGGGAGTGCCCAAAATTTTATTATGGAAAAAAGTCAACCCAGATAAAAATTGAAAACATCATACAGCACACATGCGATTTCTCAGCCAGCACCTAGGGTCTCCAACTGACATGCTGCTGTGTTTGCTTTTATCACGTCCTCCCATCTGTCCACACTGATTTCCATTCATCTTTCAGTCAATCACAATGTATCTTTAAAAAACGGATTTCAAGAAGTCTTTGAGATGGCTTTATACCTTATATACTCCGTAATGCATTTCTGCTGCTTTCACCCTGACTGACCACTGCCTTGGGGTAAAATTGCTACAATGTGCTATGTTTTGCATTCAAAATCCCCATGTCCTTCTAACAGCTTCTGGACTTCGGCACTGAGAAGGACAAGTCTGAGGCCCGCCCACTTATTGTTCCTTTGTAGTTCATTTCCCCAGTAGTCTAGATGTTTGCAGAACTTTATGGAGGATTCAATTTAAAAAACTTTAAAGACTACACCTAGATGCTAGTCTCTTGTTAATTTTGCACTTCTTCAGTGATTTCTTAGGATCTGCATGCAGGAATCCCATTGCAACTAGGGGACTTCAGCTGGAGCATGTTTTCTTCTG